GGGTTGGTGGTGGTGTGGAGGAGGAGGACTCCGGGCATCCCCTACCCTCTGCTCGTCAGGGTGCATGGCAGTGCGCACGATCGGCGAGTGGTTTGGAGTTCGCAGCTCCTGCAGCGTCTCCACCTTGAGCTTTCATGCTGTCAGCAGCGGCATTTCCCTCCTCCTCGCACCACCTGCCCGAGTCCAGCTGGACGCGTCGGCTTGACAAGCTTGAGGACTCCATCCTTCAGCATCCCATCAGGACCAGGAGGATGCAGGAGACAAGTGGACCTGCCCCGCGCTCACGATCGTCCTCGTCCTCCCCCTCCAGTGCTGCAACATGTCTCAGCTCGGCTACCAGCTCGGCAGACCCCAGCAGGTACCAGGGAGGAGACTCTCTTGGTGTGGTACTGGCTGCTGTGGAGGAGTTTGAGCTCTGCAGCTGTCGAACTGCTCTCGATGTGCTGGATATTCTGCTCGAGGACCCAAAGGCTTCCCTTGGCATCCCCCAGCACGAACATGCCGTCCCCAGATACTGGAACCTCCTTGTTAGCAAGGAACCTTGAATTCCTCCTCCTCCTCCTCCTCTCGCAGGAAGTAGGTGGAGGGGAGGGGTCGAAGACTTGGAATCAAGTGGATATTGAGTAGCAGCTATGGTAATGTTGGCTATGCTGGTGATGGAGGGGAGGAGGAAGAAGTAAGGAGAGGGAGAGGAGGAGGAAGAATTATGGAGGGGGAGAAGAAGGGAGAAACACATGGGTAGGGGAAAGACTCACTGGCTATGGAGGAGAAGCTGCCGTCCAACTCGCTCCCCAGGTTAATATCTCGCTGCATGTACTTGCCATCAAGCTCCTCGTGCCAGATCGTCATCTCCCCCTTGCTGTTCCGCGATGCTCCTCGGAGGAAGGAGCCGAGTTTGCCCACCATGCTGCTGCTCTCCAGCGTGCAGTAGATCGAGTCCTTGTGAAGTGCCATGGAAGTCAAACCGAAGCCTTGCCGGGTCTAGTGCAGAAAATCAGGAGGAGAAGGAGCAAGGGGGGAGGGATCAGAGAGAGTGGTAGCACGAGGCGGAGGAGAGGGAGGGAAAAAGGGAATAACAGGAAGAAGAGGACAAGGATTGTAGGAGGGGGAGGAGAAAGAGAGAAAGGAGGAAGGTGTGTGTGATGAAGAACGGGGTCAGGGATGGGGGTAGGGAGGAGTCGGAGGAGCTTGTGGTGGTAAAGGAGGAGGAGGGTCGGGCATGTCTTCACACCGTCAAAGTGATGGCAACGGCTGGAGTCTCGAGCTCAACTTTCTCGATCTCTAGGGCACTTTTGACCTCCTAAGAGGAAGCAAGGATGAGGGCGGGGAGGACGGCAAGAGGGACAGGCGCACTTGCATGGCTTCAGTGATGATGGTTGACTTGCCGACCTCTTTGACCTTCTCTCGCGTCAACATCGGAGGTTTCGATGATGATGACGATCACCTTCCTTCCTATCACAGACTTGAGGGAGCTTGCCTTGGATGAGAGGGAGGAAAAGCCGGTCGACTGCAGAGGTTAGCATTATTGATGACTAAGATGCACCAGGTAGGAGGACGAGGACGAGGACGAGGACGAGGACGAGGATCCAACATGAACATGAACTTGGGCTCACCGCCTTCTCCTTCGCCAAGTCTGCAATTTTGTCTGCTTCCTTGTCGAACATGAATGCTGCCTTCATAAGACCTGATCGGCCAATGTAAACAAAAGCATCACCTCGACGTCGTTCACCTCTGTCCACCTTCTGCCCTACACTCGCCGCCTTCCTGACGAAGGTAGAAGTGAATCTTGACGCTCTCTCCGACACGTCTGCTCTCTTTGGGTTCCCGGGATCATGCTTCATACATGGATCCTGTCTTATCTCCATGTCCTCCTCGCCATTGCGCGCGTTGGTGACGGGCTGACCCGCCGATCTTTCCTCGACCTCCTCGATCTCCTGCTGCTGCATGGCTTGAGCGATCTCCTCGTCCGTCTCTTCCTGTGTGCTGCGGGTCAAGACTTTTCAGACGCCAATGCGACTTTGACCTGTTTCTGTAAGCCAGTCAGTGGGTGGCAACAAACTCCAGAGATCTTACGCATTTCTGAAGGAGAAGCAGGAGAGCAATGCATTAGAAGCAAAGAAACAACTCAGTACGACTCAACAGCGCTAGTGGTAGAAATATCTCTTACATCCTATCCAGGCGTTGACGGTCGCGAGAAAATGGCGATGAAGAATCGAGGAGCAAGATCAGCGTCAAGTCAATCAGCACAGATCTTGTTCACTCACACATTTGGTGTCCGGAGGAGCACCGGACTCTATCAGCGCCTGCAGGAGAGGAGAGCAGCAAGACAGGTCAGATCCCAAGCTTTCGCTCGCATTCCTCATTCCCCAACGCTTCCTGCTTATCATCACTCCCGTTCCCTCCTTGCTGCTCCTCCTTGCTGCTTGCCTTGCTCTACCAACTATCAGGCCGCAATGATCCTTCTTCGGATCCTCTCCTCTCCTCCTGCTCCCTGCTCCCTGCTCCATCACTCCCTCGTCTCCCCCACAAACCTGACATTCGTCGCAAGACGCCATGGCGAGGCGGGATGAATTCGATTTCACGAAGTCTGAGAGAACCCAGCAGGCGAGTTCGGGCCCGGACCGGCCGGGCACAGGCTGAGTTTCCGGTCCGGGCCGAGTGGCAAGATCCCGGCGATGACCGGCCGGGCCGGGCCGGGAGGAGACACTGAGAGGAGAGTTCAGAGTCGAGTAGCACCGGATTCAGGAGCGGACTTGCAGTAGCGCCGTGTCAAACTTTAATATAGAACACTCGAGCCAGCAGAGATCGCGCTTCTCTTTCCAGCCACTCCTGGGTCGACTTCTTAACCACCGGCATCCCCTTGCTCGCCACGAAGGCTCCACCTGCTCAACAAGGCATTCAGCCGCCCCGGACCTCACTGACAGCACGTCAAGCCATGCCTGTGGCAGTGGCCCGGCATGCACTGATCATTATGGCCATGCTCCGGGACAGTCGGCGCCTCCGCAGGAGCCTCGAGAGGTTCACGCCGAAGGCTGCGCTGTACGCGTTGCCTGCTCCTGTAGGATCGACCACAGGCACCTGGAGCGCCGGCACCACCAGGATCCTTCCTGGATCTCGGGAGTCCCACACGTAGGAGCCCTTGGAGCCCTTCCTCACCGCCAGCACTCCGTGCTTCATCCCCAGCAACTTCGCGCACCTGCTGGGCGTCAGCAGGAGGAGGGCGCGTCTCAGCGCGAGCTGACCGAGGGAGCACACTCTGCGGCGTCTCGTCCAGGGAGTATCGCTCGTCTGTGATGTTGGTGCTGCCCTCTTCAGACACCAAAATCGTCAACCAACAAGAAAAATGCTGCCCCCCCCTGCTCCTACCCCAACCAGATAGCCCACTTGACTGAGGCCCCTTGCCCCTCCTGCCCCCCCGCCTGCCCCTGGCCCATCCGCTCTTGCACCTTTCCCCAACACCCCCACCCCCACCTCCACGTCTTCCCCCTCCCCCAGCTCTCCTTCTCCTTGCGGCTGACCTATAGGAGTAATGTAGCCTCGCATGTTCCGCACAGATTTGATCGAGGTCTCCAGTGACCTGTCAGGCTGCTCAGGGCCCAGCTGGAGGTGTCTGGGGGATGGCAACCGGCTGACGCGGAGCAGCTCAGGCGGTCGACTCCAGACAGTCTCGTCGGTGATCGTGTTCCAGTAGTAGACCTTGCCTGTTCGGTCGTCCACTACCGCCTTCCAAACGGTCTGCGCCCGAACTGCGCGAGTAAACAAGTCACAAACTTGTCATCCTGCTCAGCAGAACAAGAGCAGACCTTTGCCAGCGATCGAGTCCACGACCTGAATGAGGAGGAGTTAGAGAAGATGAGTCGAGATGGGACAAGGAGCAAGAGTAAACCTCCTCCCACGGAACGCGATCGCTGGGCTCGTCTCGCCATGGAACTCCGCAAGTGCAGCATCTTGGGGTTCAGAGCGTCAAGGAGGCACGTGCTGGCATCAAAGAGAGCAGAAGTCGTACAATCGCATCAGCTGCTTGATCTTCTGGACAGGTTTTGACTTGTGCAGGAAGAACTCGTCAGAGTTCTCGGCATCTTCCTGCCTTGACACGACTCGAATCTTCCTCTGTTGATCGTCGTAGATGATCTCTGAAACATTGCAAACAGCGTTCTTGCCGCTCTGCATCAACATCCTCCCCCTCACAACGGAGAATGTCCTCCTGAGGTCCAACGTCACTCCCCGGAAGGAACAACAACATGTGGGCACCTTTCATGCTTAAGGTCCAAGATCGTCACGTCTTTGAGCAGCCGATCCACCGTGATGTTCGAGTTGGGAAGCCATTGTGACGTGTAAGCAGAATACTCCTGCAAGAACCCGACCAACGGGTGTCAGGTATGTTAGAATGTTAGAACGCATGAATCCCCGCACCCTCCAAACTCCATCGACACACTCCTCGGGCGAAACCGCTTCGCTGTCTAGAAACCTTCGATACAACCAAGTAAGTCCGCACTCCCTCGTTCAACGTCCCTTCCAGGTCTCTTCCTCACATGCATGCGGTGGTAGATCCGACTGTCGGCCCGATATACCACCTTCCAGCCCCGGATTCTCCGGGCAAGAAGTACATGAAGTATTTGCCATCCTGCCATGGAGGCTTCAGAAAAACAACACACAACACAAGGTCCTTGAAGTCTCCTCTCCCTTACTTGAAGTTTGTAGACATTCCTGAAGTTCGATTGGGTTTCATAGATCTCGTACCTTCGCGCTGGGTCAAATAGCTCAGCGCTCATGTAAGTTTACCTCCCCATCAGTTTCGGATGCAAGGCGCTCCCCGAGACCCTCAGCATCGTCCCCTGGATCAGCCTCGAGATCTTCAGCGCCGTATCCCAGTCAGGACAGATGAAGTCGGCCTTCGCCGTGTGCTTCCGCAGAGTCTCCAGCGTAGCGATGGTGACGTCATGGATCACAGGTTCCACACTAAGGAAAGGAGCCCTGCCCCCCCCCCTCCTCCTCCCCTCTGATTGTTCAGTACTTCCACCCTGCCTCGCATTCGAGATAATCTTCTCGCTCAGCAGCGTCTCGGAAGCCCCGCAACCCTCAGTGATCATATGAACCACCTTGGGCTCAGTGTAGGAGGGAGGGATAGGTATCTCCTGCCTCACGAAACTTGGCCAGCTCTCCCACCCATCCCCAGGCGTCCACACCATCCTCTCGGACTCGTATCGGATCTGATTCCTCGGAGTCACGAACCCGTTCAGTCTAGAAATCCCCTGCGTGTCAACGTCGGACAGTTCAAGGCTGCTCATGAAGATCTCCTCTGAGAACTCCTGGCCTACTGGCGCAATTAGCCCCGTCCCCTCGTTCCACAGACGGGCCCCGATCGCTGCCTGCGGTCCCCCTCCTCCCAGAGCCACGCGCATCAGCTTTCCCTCTGGCTGCTTCCTCAGGACGAACTCATCTATGATGACTTTCCCCACGATGACCGCGTTCACTGCCTCCGACTGAGTCAGCGTTGCGTTCTTGACACGTCTCCTGCCTTCATTCAGGGTCCTGGTGGTGTCCAAACTTTCGTTGAGCATGGCGCTTGTGTTCTGTATCCTCATGAGCATCATCCTCGCCTCCTCTATGCTCCCTCCTTGGTCTTCACCGTTTGACTCAGACCGGCAGCTTTGCAATATTGTAGACGCGTTTGAGTTCTTGTCGCTGGGCCTTTCGTTCGCCTCATTCGGATCTTTGTCCTGCATGCACAATGGAAGAACAGACTGTCTCCTCCCCTGCAGGCTGATCTTCGCTGTTTGAAACCGAACCCTGCAGCCCCTGCTCTCCGCTCTCTTTCCTCTCAGCACAACATGTCCGGGGAAGGCAAAAGCCGCGCACCCCCTTGCCACCGTCACCGGAGTGTGCTGCGGAGCATCGGCTCTGTGAACATGGGCAAGGCTCCCCAGAGCGATCGGAAGGAGGAAGAGGAGGAGGCAGAAGAGTGATTGCGATTCCATCTTCCCTGCCCTCCTCACTGGACCTTGCACAGCCGCTCGTTCGCTTGAAACCGCACCTTGTGTTACTCCCCAGTGTTCACCATGACCAACATCCCTTTTCCTTCCACCATCACATCCTCCTTCGCTATCCTCTTCTCCTCTCCTCTCCTCTCCTCTCCACTCCTCTCCTCCCGCTCGTCCTGCTGCACTGCAAACTCGTCTACTAGGTGAGGTGCCCGACTACCCACCACCATGACCCCCATCTATGATCAGACCACCCTTGTTTTCACCCCAAATCACCCCGTGATTGGTACATAGTTGAATCAACCCTACCCCCCATTTTCTAGACATTATTGTAGCGACCCGCCGTACTCCCCGTCCAAGGATCCAAGCATGCCATGCTTGAAGCAACATGTTGTCGTCGCATGTGCCATCATCGCCATGTCGTGCTCGCTATCGCAGCAGCTCACACTCAGTGATAACTGAATCATCTCCACCTGTGTGGTTGGCAAGGGCACAGTCACAGGAAGACAGCACAAATCAAATGCGACAGCAATCAGTGATAACAGACGTCAGAAGCAGCAGTTCATCTGTATGATCTCTCGAAATGGGATGCCATGACGTGCTCTTGGCAAGATGACTTCATATCGATACACGAGGGGCCAACACAGATTTAGCCGTCAAGACAGCAATGCTTCTAGCTCTTACTTCTTCTGTCATGCTTCTTGCCCTTCAGGTCAAGTGCGACTCCATGATCAACGTTATGGCAGAGCGGACGCAGCTGTCAACTCCAGCAGGGCTGACCAAACTGTCCTGTACGTCTTGTTCCAGGGAGGATTGCAACTTCACAAGGATGTCCTGCCGGAATTCCACCTATGGAGAATATTTCCCGTCCATGAATCACTTTCCGTTGAGCATTGAGCGACTTTGCCATGCAGGGTTCTATTGGTGCCCAAGTTCTGCTTATTTCGGTAGGAAGGACCAAGGTGTGGGTAGAGATGTTTCTGACTTGTCTGCTAGACAGGACAGTCTGTGCCTTCTGTGGGATCGCGTTGCATTCTTGGTCCCACACAGACGACCCGATCGTCGGTAATCTTCGAATTTTGACAAGAAGGAGGTCCGTGTAACGATGCTCTGCACAGAGCATCTGCGGTACAACACGGCATGCAAGCTCATGGAATCTTACAACCACAAGGTAGCAGGAATGTCACGATCAGTGGTCTGAGTCGTCCATAGATTGATACATTGATGTCGACCATCCTCGACGGATTTCCGTCTAATCTCATCCGTCCTACAGTGTTGCGGTGATATGCTGCAAGGCGATGACACCAGCCTGACGAGGCTCTGCAGCGGGGCGAAGGCGAACTGTGTCTCCTTGGACGATGACGAGAAGCAGGAGAGTCTACACCAAAAGATCAGGAACGCCCCTTTCCTCAGTGCCCTTCACGCATTTTACGGGTGACGAGACGAGACGCGAGGAGAGGAGCTGACGAGGGTCTGACGAGGAGCGCAGGAGCGGAAGCTTTGTGAACGCGAATGAGATCAGGATTCCCTCCTATCAGATTCTCCACGTCCAGAGAAAGATGGAGGACCAGTCTCGACCTTGTCCGATCATCCGAGGATACTGGTGGTCGCAGCCGGGAAGCGGAGGATCGTTCAGGTGTACAGGCTAACAGTCTTGGTGCTGCCGGGACCTGTTGTGGTTGTTCTCAGTTGATTGTTATGGACGGATGTATGATTGTAGTTGGATCTTGATGATGATTGTATGATTGTGCTGTTGATTCCGATGGCCAAGAAAGTCTGATGCTGAATGGAGTTTGATGAAGGATAGCTTACAACGTGTTGCAGAGGGCTGAAGCTCTGCAACCTGTTTCCTTCTCAATGTTACAAGTTCAAGGTCATTGGCAGTCGAGGGGCTGAGAGATGCCTGACAAGATGAGGCAGAAAGCCAAGGACAGCGCGATGAAGGCGACGGTTAGTGTGTGGGGGCATCCATGGATGTTTCAAGACTGTTCGATCTTGTCTGCCGGTGAGAAGCGCGCTGGGGGGAGAGCAAGAATGATCTGGGGAGATATCATTTCGAATCTCTCCGGTTGATCGATTAAGAGGAAGGAAGACGCTGGAGAGGGAGTGAGGAGGCGGAGGTTGTGATAGTATGAGCAGGGGAAATCGCGATGATATGCTCACACGGTGGAGGGGCTCACATCAGGAAGTGCAAAGTGGGAGGGATAGGAGGAGGCGAGTATGGTGAGGATGCGACGAGCTGCTGGTCCTCAAGTGAAGTGACTTGCATGTCAGAAAAAGCCTCAACTGGCCTCTACTTGATGCAGGTAGGCCGACATGTGAATTTCATACCCTATTCTTTCCTCTCATCTGTTTTTTCCTCTTCTCCCGCCTCCGCCACGTTTCTTCACTTTCTCCACTATCTTCTCCATCCTCTGTTCTATTCTCTGTTGTCTCTGCTTTCCCCTCCTCGCTGGCCTGTTCATCTTACATGAGATCGCAGGACTCACAAGTCTTGTCATGGAAGACAAACTTCACTCACTGCACTCTCTTCGCACTCAGAATCCTTCACAGGGGGAGGATCTACTGTGACACGTGATATCCCCTTGCCCTTCCCTCTCCTCTCCCTCTTATGCGCTCCTGACCCTCCCTTGCTGTTTCTTGATCCCAAGCCTTCCCTTGCTCTGTCTTGATCCTGTTTGCCAATCTTCTCCTCTTCCTCCCCTTGTGCTTCATCCTGATTCCGCGCAGCTGCTCTATCAGGTGGACTGAGAGGGGCATCGGGATTGAAGATGCAGCCCTCGTTACCCTCCGCTCCTGCGAGCTGCGACAGAATTCCGAGTAACTCTCCTCCTCCTCCTCCTCCTCCTCCTCCACCACCACCACCATCTTTGACCCCCCCCCCCTGCCCCTCCTCCTCCTCGTCTTTCACACTTCCTTGTCCGTTGCATACAATCCAAGTTTTGTTTGTCCACCTGTTCCTTTCCCTTTTCTTGTGAAGTTTTCTCGTGACTGCTATTCCTTCAGCTCCGTCTTCCAGGCAGTCTCTGGCGCTGCTCAGGCAAAGCTCCACATGATCGGTTTTTTCTTTCCTCCTCCTCCTCCTCTCCCGAAGCTGAAGCTTGTCAAGGTTGCGTCATCCTTCATGCAAGTGACATCTGGTTCGGAAGAGTCCGTCCAG